TCTGAGATTTTACTGCCTGTTTTCTTCTAGGATTTTTATGGTTTCAGCTCTAACATATAACTCTTGAATGTATTTTGAGTTTATTCTTGTGTATTGTGTAAGAAGGTGTTGTAGTTTCTTTGTGTTTCATGTATCTGTCCAGTATTCCCATCACCATTTATTGAATAGACTATCTTTCCCTTATTGTATGTTCTTACCTCCTTTGTCATATCTTAATTGACCATGTAGTCATAGGTATGTTTCTGGGCTTTCTACTCTGTTCCACTGATCTATGTGTCTGTTTTTATGCCAATACCATACTGTTTTGATTAATATAGCCTTGTAGGATATATTCTTTTTTTAAAAAATATATTTTAATGATTTCAGAGAGAGGAAGGGGGAGGGAGAGAGAGAGATCGAAACATCAGTGATGAGAGAGTCATTGATTGGCATCCTCCTGCATGCCCCCAACTGGGGATCGAGCCTGCAACCCAGGCATGAGCAGTGACCAGGAATAAAACTGCAACCTGGATCATAAGTCAATATTCAACAGCCAAACCACACCAGCCGGGCTTCATTTGGAATTTATTTTTGTGTATGGTATAAGGAGGTGGTCTAGTTCCCTTTTTTGCATATATATGTCCAATTTTACCAACATCATTTATTGAATAGGCTATCTTTAACCCATTGTATGTTTTTGCCTCCTTTGTCTAATATTAATTGACTATAAAGATGTGGGTTTATTTCTGGGCTCTCTATTCTGTTTCATTGATCTATATGTCTGTTTTTATGCCAGTACCAGGCTGTTTTTACTGCTATGGCTTGCAGTGTAGCTTGATATTAGGTAGCATAATTACTCCAACTTTGTTCTTTTTTTCTCAAGATTGCTGTTGGCTCTTCTGAGTCTTTTGTGATTCCATATACATTTTGGAATATGTGCTCTAGTTCTGTGAAGTGCACCATTGTTGTCTTGGTAGGAATTCCATGGACCCTATAGATGGCTTTGGGCAGATGCTGTCTCTTATACACATCTAGATGTGTATAAGAGACAGCCCTCTCCCTCTCCCTCTCCCTCTCCCTCTCCCTCTCCTTCTCCCTCTCCCTTCATCTCTCTCTAAAATCAGTAAAAACATATCCTTGGGTGAAAATTTAAAAAAAGATATACCATAACACTGGCATTGTTGGTCAGATTATAATACCGATATTGACAGCCACGCGTATGGGGAAACTGAGCTAAAAGCCTCCTGTGCCTCCCTCACAGCGACCCCTCCAAGTGTTAGGAATGTGGATGCTGCTGCTGTTGGCCTGCCTCTGTCATGCCCGCAGGGTCCCTAGATAGCTTCAGGGTGCGGGAGGCTGCTGGCCAGAAAAACCAGCCATATGATTAGAGGTGTGGAGTTGAAGACTTTGCATTTTAACTTGTGGGATCTGGCGCTCACTCCAGGTAGTTAGAGTCAGAATTGGATCGAAGTGTACGACATCCAGTTGGTGTCAGAGAACTGGTGTCAGATCCAGTAAGCATATGCTCTCCTGAGTTCCGTGAGTTGTTCTAGTGAATTATGGAACCTGTGGGGGGAGTGGGAGCCCCTGAAAGAGAAGATAACTGGTCAGAGGGATGTAGGACTGAGGACCCCCGAGCTTGAGAGCAGGGCCTGAAGTAAGGGCAGTCTTGTGGAGGACTGTGCTCTTAGCTGGGGAGTCGGGTCACACTCTGGGTAGCTGGTGACAAGTCATTTCATTCCTATGTGGAACACTATTCAGCTGCAGAAAGGGAAGAAGCACTGACACATGCAATAACACGGAGGAACCTTGAAAACCTTAGAAGGCGGTCACAGAAAGACCACACACTGTATGATCCCATTTATATGAAAGTTCAGAATAGGCAAATCTACAGAGACAGAGGATTAGTGAGTAGGGATGGAAGGGGGCGGCGAGGAAGCAGGTGAAGGAAAGGGAACCAAGTTTCTTCATAAAGTGATGGAAAGGCTCTAGAATTAACTATGGCGCTAGTTATGTGTATCTGAAAACATACCGAAAGCCATTGAAATGTGTACTTGAGGTGGGTGAATTGTATGGGATGTGAACTGTATCTAAATAAAGCTGTTATCTTTTTTGAAGGGTGATGACCTTTTAGAAATATATACTGAAATAGCTATGGATGAAATAATAAGACATCTGGGATTTGCTTCTAAAGAATCCTTTGGGGTGGGGAGGGGAACGGGGGAGTAAGCCTGGCCCTACGCTGATCATTGCTGAAGCCGGGGGCCTGGTTTCACTAGATAATTCTCTACACAAGTAGGTATGTGGAACATCTTTCATGAGCGGAAAACAGAATCCCATGCAATGTTCTGACTAACTCAGAGGAGAGGGGACTGTCTACCTTGGAGGTTATTTAGAGGCCCTGCCCAGAGATCCCTATCGGAGATGAATTATTGAGGGGAACCTGAGAGGCACGGAAGCCCCGGGGTGGAGAGGCGCCCAGGCCTGGGGCTGGCCCGCCCTCGCTCAACCGCAGGCCATGCTCACCGCGGTGGTGGAGGTGGAGCGGGGGAGCCAGCCAGGTAGGAAGCCGCAGGCTCACCATCAGAGGCAGTGCCCGTGGGAGAGCCTCTTGGGGAGGGAGAGGGCTAGGCCGCCTCCGGATAGGAAACCGAGGCAAAGGCTGAGGGCAGGACTCACGAGTTCTGGGAGCCCAGTTCCCCTCATGAGAGCTGATAGGAAGTCCACCTCTCCTAGGCCCCGAGGAGACCTGTCACCCCACCCTTCTTCTGGAGGGGTCCAACAGCATCCGCCTGCTTCGGCCAGGGACTCTGGAGACACAGGTGGAGAGGGGGTGAAGTGTGGGTGGGGCAGGGGAAGAGGGGAGTGACACTGCTGACCCCAGCCCTGCCCGCAGGAACAATGCGTCACCTTTGACAGAGTCCTGGGCTCTGATGCTGCTCAGGTAGGGGGGTCTGAGGGGGTGATGGGAGGAAGATGGGAGCCCTCAGGCCTGGAGCCTGGGGTACTGAGTCCTTCCAGAGCCCTTTGCTCAGGCCGGTCTGGGTCAGGGCACCCGAGACAGGGGGCTGTGCCTGTGTCTCCCTGCAGGAGGCAGAGCAGGAGCTGCTAGCTCGAGTCCAGCCCGCACTGGGCTCTGTGGGCCGAGGGTACAATGTGGCCCTGTTGCTTCGGGGTCGGGAAACAGAGGCACCCCGGCTCGTGCCTCAGGTGAGTCCCAGAGGAGCCACAGGTACAGGTATCATGAGGCTCGGGTGTTGCCTTCTCGAGGGGACCTTCGAGAACCTTCCTTTCCCACCATAGCTGAACTAGGTACCCCTCCTTGGGGCCCCTGTGATCCATACAGGATGTTTGGCCTGGGTCAATTTATCCAGCTGTTGAGAGATCAGAGGAGGTAGGAGGCTGGGGCTGATGGGGTGAGGGTCAGGGAGTGGGGATATGCAAGGATCAAATATCCAGGGAGGTCTAATTTTCACAGTTCTTGATAATACTAATAATGATAATAAACTTTGTGATAATAATAATAAAGTTTTGTGTTTTGGGGCTTCATCAAAATGCCCCCAAATCAAAATAGCTGCCTCAGAACCTTGTCATGGGCCCCTGCCCTAGCAAATAACAGGTCCCGCTGAAAATGTCTCTCACTTGTTTAGCTTGCTGTGAACTTGGGGCCTCCACCTGTTTCTGTCCTGGGCACGGTTTCCCCAACACCAAGCATAGGGCACTTCACCCTTAGAAAATCTTGAAAGACTTTTTTTTGGTCAATCCCTTTCTCAATTATTTCTCAATCCCCATTGAACCTCT